GGACCAATGTGAGTTGTGGATTCTTACAGAACTAGCACGGGACTCCCGGTTTGAAAACTAAGTCCAAAAATGTACTTTTTCACACTTCTACTTCAAAAATAGGCCTTCGGGGGCCAAAATTGTGCAACAGCCACGAGACGACCCAGGAAACACCTCAAACACCTCGAGATGGACAAATCTGAGTTGTGGAAACTTACAGAACTAGTATGGGACTCTCGGTTTGAAAACTAAGTCCAAAAATGTACTTTTTCACACTTAAGCTTGAAAATAGGCCTTCGGGGGCCAAAATCATGCAACAGCCACCAGACGGCCCGGGAAACACCTCAAACACCTCGGGAGGGACCAATGTGAGTTATGAAAACTTACGGAACTAGCACGGGACTGCCGGTTTGAAAACTAAGTCTAAAAATGCACTTTTTCACACTTAAGCTTGAAAATAGGCTTTCGTGAGCCAAAGTCGTGTAACAGCCATGAGACGGCCTAGGAAACACCTCAAACACCTCGGGATGGACCAATGTGAGTTGTGAAAACTTACGGAACTAGCACGGGACTCCCAGTTTGAAAACTAAGTCCAAAAATGTACTTTTTCACACTTAAGCTTCAAAAATAGGCCTTCGGGGGCCAAAATGGTGCAACAGCCAAGAGACGGCCCGGGAAACACCTCAAACACCTCGGGATGGACAAATGTGAGTTGTGGAAACTTACGGAACTAGCACGGGACTCTCCATTTGAAAACTAAGTCCAAAAATGTACTTTTTCACACTTAAGCTTGAAAATAGGCCTTCGGGGACCAAAATCGTGCAACAGCCATGAGACAGCCCGGGAAACATCTCAAACACCTCGGGACGGACCAATGGGAGTTTTGGAAACTTACGGAACTAGCACGAGACTCCTGATTTGAAAACTAAGTCCAAAAATGTACTTTTCCACACTTAAGCTTGAAAATAGGCCACCGGAGGCCAAATTCGTGCAACAGACATGACACGGCCCGGGGAACACCTCAAACACCTCTGGAGGGACAAATGTGAGTTGTGGAAGCTTACGAAACTAGCACGGGACTCCTGGTTTGAAAACTAAGTTCAAAAATGCACTTTTTCACACTTAAGCTTCAAAAATAGGCCTTCGGGGTCCAAAATCGTGCAACAGCCATGAGACGGCCCGAGAAACACCTCAAACACCTCGGGGTGGACAAATGTGAGTTGTGAAAACTTACGGAATTAGCACGGGACTCTCGGTTTGAAAACTAAGTCCAAAAATGTACTTGTTCACACTTAAGCTTGAAAATAGGCCTTCGGGGGCCAAAATTGTGCAACAGCCACCAGACAGCCCATGAAACACCTCAAACACCTCGGGAGGGACCAATGTGAGTTGTGGAAACTTACGAAACTAGCACGGACTCCCGGTTTGAAAACTAAGTCCAAAAATGCACTTTTCCACACTTAAGCTTGAAAATAGTCTTTCGGGGGCCAAAATCATGCAACAGCCATGAGACGGCCTGAGAAACACCTCAAACACCTCAGGACGGACCAATGTGAGTTGTGGAAGCTTACGGAACTAGCACGGGACTCCCGGTTTGAAAACTAAGTCAAAAAATGCACTTTTCCACACTTAAGTTTGAAAATAGGCCTTCGGGGGCCAAAATCGTGCAACAGCCACAAGACGGCCTGGGAAACACCTCAAACACCTCGGGATGGACCAATGTGAGTTGTGAAAACTGAAGGAACTAGCACGGGACTCCCGGTTTGAAAACTAAGTCCAAAAATGCACTTTTCCACACTTAAGTTTGAAAATAGGCCTTCGAGGGCCAAAATCGTGCAACAGCCACGAGACGGCCCGGGAAACACCTCAAGATGGACCAATGTGAGTTTTGGAAACTGACGGAACTAGCACGGGACTCCCAGTTTGAAAACTAAGTCCAAAAATGCACTTTTCCACACTTAAGTTTGAAAATAGGCCTTCGGGGGCCAAAATCGTGCAACAGCCACGAGACGGCCCAGGAAACACCTCAAACACCTCGGGATGGACCAATGTGAGTTGTAGAAACTGACGGAACTAGCACGGGACTCCCGGTTTGAAAACTAAGTCCAAAAATGCATGTTAAATTGTATATGTTATGGATAAGATAATAACTGTCTAACTGGCATTTTTCTTTTTCTTTTTGTTTCATTTTTTTGCAGATTCGGGATTTGATATGGACGTGTTTGGTAATTTGAAGGGCAGATGTAGCTCATTTTTTGTTTTTGTTCTTGTTCATATTACCTTACTGGTATTTTGGTTGTGTTGTAAATTTTATATTTTTGTTGGTATTACGGGGTATGTTTGGTAATCCGCCCTTGATATTTTATTTTTGTTGATATTAGTAGACATGTTTTTTGTTGGATATTAGGAGATGTGTTTGGTAATCTGCATACGGTTGATATTATATTTTTGTGGATATTAGTAGACGTTTTTTGTGGATATTAGGAGACATGTTTATAATCCGCATGTAGTTCATATTGTATTTTTGTGGATAGTGCTAAAATTTGATTGTGATATTTACGAAAATAAACAGATTTTTGTATTAATTTGTAGTTGATATTTTATTGAACATGTTATTGAATTGCGCAGGGAATTGTTACTGAAAAGAAAAAATTTCAGAAGAAAATAGTACCCCCATTTTCAAAATTTTTAATTTTTATTAGTGACGAAATAAAAAATGTCACTATTAGTTTTTAAAAAACATGACGAATAATTTTGTCACTAATGATATAGTACGAAACAAATAATTTCGTCACATTTGCTAAATATTTCGTCGCTAAATTGAAATATTTGGTGACAAAATGTTTTTTGTCATTGAATAATTTCCTTTTTTGCTCATTTTAGTGACGAATTTTTTTGTATCCTTAATCCATATCATTGGTAAGGAAAACTTTCGTCACTAAAATATATTTGGTGACGAAATATTTCGTCGCAAAAAACAATTAAAATAAAATATTATTTAGTTTTGGTGACGAAGTTGGTGTTTTAGAGGACGAAAAATTCAACATTTGGAGACGAAACATTTTGTCGCCAAAAATGAAAAATAGGTGACGAAACTATTTTTCGTCACCAGGTACTTTTTGTGACGACGTATAGGTCACGAACGTGGTGACAAATTTTTTTCGTCACAGATCACTTTAGTGACGAAATTTTGATGTTTGGAGACAAAATCAGTCTGTCACCAAAGGCCTTTTTTGTTGTAGTGATTCTTGATTCTGAATCTTTGTTTTTGTCTCCTTTTTCTTTGTTTTCTCCAGATTCTTGCCTTCAATCCTCTGTTTTCATAGACTTAGGTTTGGACTTTGTCGTAGAGCTCACAAACCTTAGGGAATACTGAAACAAATTTCACTTTAGATCCAAAAAATCTCTACCTCAGCATTCGTTTAGGTTTTGTCGAGGTCTTCTGAACCTTCACAGAACACATTTTCAAAATCATACACCTTTCCCTTAAGCCGACATTATGGGTATGTGGAGGTATAGGGTAGACACCCCAACTAAGTTAGAGTACTTCAGGCAAGAGTTTGACATCCCGACCGACGTTTACCTAAGGTTGGCTGGGGAGAACGACTCCATTATGCCTGATGAAAACCTCATGCCTTTCCCTATCGTTGCCTTTATAGAATGTGGACTTAGGTTTCCACTAGACATCCTCTTCCAAGAAGTTCTCCATTACTACAAATTGAACCCGATGCAGCTTGCCATTAACTCTTACCGAGTTATTAATGGTATAATCGCCTTAGCCAAAAAAGAGAAAGCTAGGGTCACCCTTACCGACATCCAGTATTGCTATACCATGTGTGGCCTTAAATTAGAAAAAGACTACATCTACTATCTTAAGCCGAGGTCCACAGAATATAAACTTGTAGCCAACCTCCCAGACTCCAACAAGGGAACCGGGGACGATTACTTCATTGTATCGGGCAACTGGGAGTTCGCTCCAGATGAAGACCTTCATCTCTACTCTCTTAGCCGAACAGTATTCATAGAGGGTAATGGTAAGAACCAAGTATTACACAGACTTATTTTTTCAAAAAATTTTATTCTTTCTATATGTTCTAATATCTGTGTTCTTTCGTGTAGCTCTTCCACAGCCACCAAAGGATTTTCGTAAGTCTTTCTTCCCCAGCAAGGATCTTAAGAAGTTGTTGGATCTGCTAGTTCATAGGCGGAGAGCTCCTCTACTGCTCAAATTCATCCCGACTTACAAGTCGGTACTTCCTGACGTCCCAAAGAAGCAGAAAAGTAAGTCTTCATCTTCCGCCACAACTCCACCAGTAACTTCATCATCTCAGCCAAATTAGGGGTCAACCTCTGATCCAGCGGAGCAGCCATCTACCTCTGCTCCACAGCAGATCCCACCATCTCAACGCCGACGCCGGACTGCAGTTGCTGCAGAGATGGGCCGCAAGAAAGCAATCGCAAAAGATCTTCTAGCCGACACCCCCGACACCGTCCACGCTCAACTAGCCCAATCCTAGCCTCAACCAAAGCCAAAGCCTAAAAGACTGAAGAAGGCTCAGCCTAAGGCAACAGTGACTTAGATTGACACTGAGGACACCTTGTCTATTTCAAAATTGGCTGAGAGTGAGAAGACCCCTTCTGTCACCGAGAAGAGGGCCGCCGAGACTGAACCGTCTCAATCAACTCGGTCAAAAAGGCCGAGGTCCGAGTCAGCCACAACCTCGGGGCCCATGAAACCAGATGCCCCCTGGGCTCTCCCAATTACCATCGATGACAAGTCGGTTAGAGCTAGCGACAGTGTGACTGACCTTAAAGTCGGCGTTGCCCTCTCTACGGCTTTGCTTCTTCCCAATGATCTTAATCGCAACGCCGAGCAGCATTCCGTCCAGGTAAGCCCCATCACTTGACACTCTTCACTTTCTATTTTTCCCATACTTACAGAATTTTTACTAACTTTTGTTCTGTCCATTTTCTTTCAGGCAATCCAGCACGCCCACTCCTTCTCAATGCAAGCTTTTGAAATGAGGAAGGAGTTGGCCGACAAGATCAGGGAGGTTGCTGGTCTACAGAAGACCATTAAAAAGGCCGAGGCAAAAATGAAGACCTTGTCAGACCAGGCCGAGGCGGCCATTAAAGCTAAAGATGAGGCCAAAGAAAAAACAGATGCTGTAGATACCATTAAGAAGGTTCTTGAGGCCAAGAAAAATGAGGCCCAGATAAAAACTGCGGAGGCCCAAGCCGTGCTCCGGGCTACCTTGGCCACAAAAGTAGCCGAGATCAAGGCGGCGGATGAGAAGGCGTATGCTGAAAGGGCGGCCGACGTTAAGAAGGACTACAAAAAGCAGGTGAAGTAGGCATGCAACAAAGGTTTTGCCCATGGTTGGATGGCAGCCCTCAAAAGGCTTGATGTCCCCGAGGACTCCCCAGTTAGGAATGCTGGTGACCTTTCCCTGCCATTTCCCCCTACTCCAAGCCAATCTGAAGACAATTTTGAGTCCGCGGAGGAAGCTTTGGCTAGGAAGACGAAGGACGCTGCTAGGGCCAAGTCCCCTACTTTCAATGAGCAAGTCGTAGACTTATCTTAGGATGAGGAGGGCGAGGTCTCCAAAGATGCCACTCCTGAGACAACATCGGACATGCCTATCACCGAGAAGAGCATTGCCCAAACTCTTCAAGAAATCGATGCTAAGCTCGCGGCTGAGAAGGCTGCCGAAAAGTTTTCCCAGATGTCCTTTGAGCCCCAAACCCAACCGGTCAACAACGCTGAGTAGTTTAGTTCTGATGCTTTTCTTTTACTTCTATACCTTGTATTTTTTCTTTTCTTTTTGAAACAGTGTAAGCTTTAATTTGGCCAACATGCCACCTTTGTGATCTGAATTAATGTCAAGCCGAAGTGCCTTTTGCATTTGAACTTCCTTATCTGAATGCAAATATAACTTTCTTCTTTCCATGTGATTGTATGTTTGTCTTCCTTTACTCTTGTATGACTCTTTATACTTAGAATAATTTTCATGTCTTCGACATACACCTTGATTGTGTAATCTTCTCGGTATGGAATACTTCGGCTATTCCCACTGATAGTTTTCCTCAGCTTTGTTCTAACACTTGAAAATATTTATACTATTTTCACAAGTGTTATTTACAACTTGCCATTTCGCTCAAGACCTCTGTTTTCATTTATTGCAGTATAATCTTGCTTTAACTTCAACTTGTAAATTTTTTCTCAAAATTTCAACAAGCGTTAAACCATCTTCCTTTAACATAACATCGGCTTAACTTCAACTTGTAAATTTTTCTCAAAATTTCAACAAGTGTTAAACCATCTTCTTTTAATAACCTCGGTTTAACTTCAACTTGTAAATTTTTCTCAAAATTTCAACAAGTGTTAAACCATCTTCCTTGTAAATTCTAACTCCCAAGCATTATTCTCCAGTCCTCTGCCCCCTAATGTGAACTTAAGTTCCACTTGGGTTCTGATTAAGCATGTGGCTTTTGATCTTGTCACCGAGGTCAGATTCAAACAAAGACTGGCCGAGGTTACCAACCTCGGTCTCTTTGTTAATCTGACTGGCATGCACTTGGCTCCAATTTGTGTCTAATTTTGCTGATATGACAAGTCCAGGTTAACCCAACTTAGTTCAACTCTATTATATGCAAGTAAAGTTTGTACTCTGCCATATAATAAGTCTAAGTTATTCGTCATGTTTTGCTTAGAAATATCGCCAACTTAGTTCAACTCTATTATATGCAAGTAAAGTTTCTACACTACCATATAATAAGTCGAAATTATTCGTCATGTTTCGCTTAGAAACATCGCAAACTTAGTTCAACTCTATTATATGCAAGTAAAGTTTCTACTCTGCCATATAATAAGTCTAAGTTATTCGTCATGTTTCGCTTAGAAACATTGTCAAGTACCTGTTTAGTCACTATACACAAGTTTAAAAATCAATCTAAAAAACTTTTATTAATACTTCGGCTAATAACAAGAGAAAGCTTGAAAAACAATAAGACCTAGTGATAGAAAAACTTCAGATTGCAAGTATTCCAGGGTCTTGGCAGCTCTTTGCATTCACATTCCTCAAGGCGATATGCCCCGTTGCCCAAGACCAAGATGATTCTATAGGGTCCTTCCCAATTCGGGCCAAGCTTGCCTTCTCTGGGATCCTTCTTGTTGCCGACAGCCCTTCTCAGGACGAGGTCACCAACTTGGAACTCTCGTGGGTTCACCTTCTTATTATAAGCCCTGGCAAGCTGCTGCTGGTATGCCCCCAGCTGAATTGCTGCTTTTTTCCTTCGTTCCTCTAGCAGATCCAGATCTCAGGCTAAAAATGCCTCATTGTTCCCATTTTCTACTGCCTGGGTTCTGATCCCTGGGATGCCAACCTCCAATGGAATTACTGCCTCTGTGCCATAAGCCATGGCAAATGGGGATTTTCCCGTTGATCTTCTCGGCGTAGTCCGATATGCCCAGAGTACACTAGGCAACTTGTCCACCCATTTTCCCTTTGCTGCTTGCAGCCTCTTCTTAATCCCATCCAAGATAACTTTGTTGGATGCTTCCGCTTGTCCATTGCTTTGAGGAAAACTCAAGATGGAAAAATAGTTCTTGATTTTGAACTTTGCACAGAAGCTCTTGATTAGCTTACTGTCAAACTGTGTTTGATTGTCAGCTATTATTGCTCTTGGGATCCCAAACCTGGTGATGATGTTCTTCCAGATGAAGTTTTTCACATCAATGTCCCAAATCTTGGCGAAAGGTTCAGCTTCTACCCACTCGGTGAAGTAGTCTGTTACCACCAGCAGATACTTCTTTTGTCCAGTTGCTTGAGGTAGTTTTCCAACAAGATCCATGCCCCATTGGGCAAATGGCTAAGGGCTAGACACCGGGTTCAAGTCTGCTACCGGTTGATGTATCAAAGGTGCAAATCTCTGGCACTTCTCACACTTCTTAACATAGGCTTCAGTATCTTTCTGCATGTAGGGCCACCAGTACCTCTGAGTAATGGCCCTATGAGCAAGTGACCTACCCCCAGCGTGACTTTCGCGTACTCCTTCATATATTTCGTACAGAAAGTCTTCAACCTGTGCAGGATGCACACACCTTAGAAGGGGTCCAGTAAAAGATCTTCTGTAAAGATGTCCTTCTGCTGTCAAACAAAACCTTGCCGACTTCAATATAATCTTGTGCGCTTCTTTTCGGTTGTCTGGAAGCTTCCCATCTCGAAGAAATACTATTATTGCATCCATCCAGCTTGGTCTCATCTCCACACACATTGCTTCATGCTCTGTGTTCAGTGGTTCTATACTTGGTCCTGGCAAGTAATCAACCATTATTGTTCTTGCTTCTCCTGGTTTCATTGCACTAGCCAGGTTGGCCAGGGCATCAACATGGTTGTTGTCATCTCGGCCGACTTGCTGTAGTCAGCAATTTCGGAACAATGCCATCAGTCTGCCCACTTCCTTTAAATAGGTTGACATCCTTTCATCTCGGGTTGCATACTCGTCTGTTGCCTGGTTGACTATAAGCTGAGAGTCGCAAAAGACTATTACCTCGTCAGCTTCCATGGTTGCTGCTAGCTTTAATCCTACTATTAGTGCTTCATACTCTGCTTCATTGTTTGAGGCCTTAAACTCCAAACGAATGGATTGCTCCAGTACCTGCCCATCTGGAGATACTAGTACTACTCCTACCCCCGCTCCTTGTCGGTTTGAACTTCCATCAACAAACAGCCAGAAGTAGTCACCGATGTAAATACTGCAGGGCCTAAGTTTTTCTTCCTTCCTTTGTTCTGCTGCCCCCTGTTGGGTTTTTCCTTGCTCATTAGGACGTTGCATACCTTGGCTCAACGGAGCCCGATGTATAACTATGCCTGGTGTGAACTCGGCCACAAAGTCGGCTAAGACTTGTCCTTTGATTGCTATCCTGGGTTTGAATTCCAAGTCCTATTGGCCTAACATAACTGCCCATCTGGCTATTCTGCCTGTCAGATCTCCCTGTTGCAATAGGGACCTCAACGGATGTTCAGTTTACACCACAATTTTGTGGGCTTGAAAGCAGTGATTCAACTTCTTGGAGGCCATTACTAAGGCAAGTGTTAACTTCTCCAAGGGTAAGTACCTGGTCTCTACATCTGCCAGAGTTTTACTCACGTAATAGACTGCCATTTGCTCTCCCTTTTCTTCTCTGACTATTACTGCACTCGCTGCATGTTCTGACACTGCCAAGTATAAGAACAGCTCCTCTCCAAGCACTGGATTTGAGAGAACTGGAGCTGTGGTCAAATACTTTTTCAAGTCGGCCAAGGCGACTTCGCACTCTTCTGTCCGTAAGAAGTCTGCGACTTTCTTTACTAAGCTGAAGAAAGGTTTACACTTATCAGAGCTTCTACTTATAAATCTGTTTAGGGTTGCAGCCCTTCCAGTCAACATCTGCACTTGTTTTGTCGATGTTGGGCTCTTCAATTCTAAGATGGCTTTAATCTGATCCGGACTAGCCTCAATGCCCCTTTTGGTAACCGAATATCCTAAGAACTTACCAGACCCTACTCCAAATGCACACTTCGATGCATTAAGTCGAAGTCGATATGTCCTAAGGATGTCAAAGACTGCCTTCAAGTCTTCCAAATGACCTTCGGGTTCCTTGGTCTTCATGACCATGTCATCTATGTATACCTCCATAGTTTTGCCAATTAGATGTCTGAACATCTTTGTCACCAACCTCTGATAAGTTGCTCTTGCGTTTTTCAGCTCGAAAGGCATTACTCTGTAGCAATATAGCCCTTTTGGGGTGATGAATGCAGTCTTTTTCTCCTCTGGGGGGTACATAGCTATCTGATGATACCCCCTGTAGGCATCCAAGAAGCTCATCCTTCCATGCCCTGAAGTGGCATCCACCAATTGGTCAATCTTGGGTAATGGGAAACTGTCTTTGGGACAAGCTTTATTCAGGTTGGTGAAGTCTACGCAGACCCTCCACTTACCATTCATTTTCTTCACAACCACTGTGTTTGATAACCATGTCGGGTAATTTACCTCTCGAATGGCTCTGGCCTCTAGAAGTCTATCTACTTCCTCTTCTACTGCCTCAACATGCATTAGTGTCGGCCTCCTTGCCTGTTAGATGACAGGTTTGGCCGACCTGTCTACATTTAGTCTATGGTAAGTGATCTCGGGGTCAATGTCTGGCATCTCGTACGGTGTCCATGAAAACACCTTAAGGTTTGCTCTCATGAATGCCTCTAACTCTTTTTCCTCTTCCTTGGCTAAGCCCGAGCCGAGAAGGAAGAAGCATTCTTCATCCCCTTGCTGGACAAGGATTTTCTTCAAAGCTTCTTCACTTTTCTCGGTTGGCTCTTTGCCGACGTCATCTAGGACTTTCACATTCTCGTCCTCAAACTTCGATGTTTCTATTTCTCGTATGTTGCAGATAGACTTCATTGCTGCCATGGAGTAATTCTTTGCATGCAACTGATCCTCTCTGATCTCCTCTATTCCATGCTCTGTTGGGAATCACAATAGCTGATGTAATATTGAGGGAACAGCTCCCATTGCGTGTAGCCATGGCCTTCCCAGAATAGCATTGTAAGGGAAGGGAGTGTCAATTACTGTGAACTCAGTTTTTACCTTCTTGGTGCCAGCCTGCACCTCCAAACTTCCTGCCCCCAGAGGCCACGTCGGCGTTCCATTAAACCTGACCATTGGACCATTGGATTATTCCAGATCATCTTGGTGAAGGCCAATCTCCTTGTAGCATCTGACATACATGATG